ATTTATTCAATTTAATAATAAGCATTAACATCTTAATAGTATTTACCACTTTATTTTAGCACTATCCCAGAGTATAGAATTATAAAGCTTGTCAAAGACTTTCTTATCAACATGAAAACAATTCATGGCGACTCATGTTTCGTAGAATTTGTTGATCCTTTTTTAATGGAACATGTCAAGAGCATAACTATTGTGTATGACACAGATAATTTTTCAACATATGGCAAGGTTATTGACCCTATGATCAGACAATATTTACTTTCGCATGTGTGAGAGTAGGTTGTTCACACCCCCCTGGTATGTCACACATCCCTTTTTGTTGAACCCCCACGGAAAAGAAAATGCAAGAACTCCTAGAGGATTGACTTAGTTTGATAATGAAGATTTACATGAAGTACATATTTCTGTCAAACCTTCATAATTCTTTTAACAGATAATTGATTTGAAAAAAGTTATGCTAAAGTATCATGTCTATCAATTTCATGATGGGGGGCATGGATATGAAGAACTTGAAGAACTCCATCTTTTTAAAATCACTCCCAAACAATGACATTTTCAAAGTATATATTAGTCACGTGTTTGAATCATATTTTAGAGGCGTGGATTTCAACATCATCTCGTGAAATAAAGTTACCTTATTACATGGTAAGTTAGTTTCCTTGGTAACCAGACGTGAGTCCTTGCGTCATCGTCCGTCACGTGTATCTTTTTACGAATCAAATTAGATTCTATTTTTGCGTGTGTTGACTTTGTAACAACTCTCATCTTAACGGAGTAAATCTCTTATCACTCATAACATTCAAGATTGAAAAATCACATATCAAAGTATTGATAAGAATAAGTTAGCTACAATCAGATAGAATGAAACGCGAGAGACGTGATGGTGTTTTAACGAGCCAACTATTAAATGACGTCAAGGCTACCATGTTTGTGTACCGCTGTGACGTCACTCGAAAACAAACAACGAAGCCAATCAAACACCAGCATTTACCACTCATAGTACATCATGTTTGTCTTCACGTGATCTACTGCAAATATCCAGAAGAATGAGTTGAGCTTTTCTTTAAAACTTTCACAGAGCCAACCGGTACTGGTGAAACATCCTTATGCAAGGCGCTTGCTCAAAATTATCCATACGACTTTCTAAAAGGTAAAAACACTACATTTTATTTTGATGTTACGTAAATCGCAATCCATTACTATCCATGTGTGTACTGCAACTAATATTGCCACGTAATTTTATTGTTATGTCGTGAATTATAAATACAAAGTATAATCCGAAAAAGGACATGTTGTAAACTCAACATCAAATTTAGAAAACAAGACGATTAAAATGTAAATATTACACTTTCAATTGTTTTGCTTTGTAACTTTATTTAAGTTTACAAGATGTTCTTTTGGCATTATCTTTACTTTGTTTTAATGAAATTGTCGTCTACCTAAGGATTATGAACTATAAATTAAAGTGTGTTTCTACTTTTGAATCCTTAGATTTAACTATGGCCAGCTTATTGAAATAAACATTCACAGTTTATTTTCCGAGGTAGGCATCATTTTGAATAGCTCAAAGCAACATCACCGAGTGCGAAAATCCTCTGGAACCAAAAATTACATTGCCATAAATTTTCCGTGAAACCTTTGTCGTCACCCCCTGTCAATATAAAATGCACGGTCACATCAAAATATCAGTTCAGAAAACTGACATTTATATACCTGGGATTGAGATGTCGTTGAAGTTAATAAATCTAGTTCCGTATCACAAAATGATCATATCCAATTAAAAATAGCATCTGTAATTTAAAATGTACATTGACATTATCTTTCCCTACAAACAGAGTGGAAAGTTAATGATGAAAATGTTTCAGAAAATTCAAGAGTTTATTGACGACAAATAAACTTTAGTTTGCGTTCTTATCGACGAGGTAAACTTTGCTTAAACATTTCTTTCTTAATGCTCATGGTCAGATAGATGAGAAATCATTTACTATTTGTGTTTCTTGTTTCACAAAATACCCGAAGCACATGTACGCTTGTCGGTAATGTTTAAGGAAAATACCTTTGCTATCCATATCTTTTACTTCTGAAGGTTGAAAGTTTAACATCGGCAAGAAAATCTGCGTTGAACGGACAAGAACCTTCAGATGCCATTCGTGTTGTGAATGCATTTCTCCTCAAATTGACCATATAAAACTGTAAATGCAAAATATAAGCAGAATATGCATTTCGGCGAACATTGCGTTCTCATGGATTTTTTAGTGAACTAAGAGATTGTATTCGGTTATATGAACGGCGAGGCCAGCCGGCAGGGTTGTTGCGTTATGTATTATTTAATAAAATAGAGACTTTGTAGAAAATAGTTCTAAAGATAGCAAATACCATAGTAAATGGTAAAAGTAATATAATAAGTTGATAGTTCTTACAAGAACTGTTGTAAGTAAAGAGCACTAACCCAATAGTTCTAAATTAAACGACACGATGCATTTCGGCAGACTACTCCTCAGGTGTCAACGTCTGCTGAATGAAAATTTACAATCTACCGATATTTATAATGCCAAGACAACAGTCTTTATCAACTTATTATATTACATTTACCATTCACTATGGTATTTGCTATCTTTAGAACTATGTATTATTTCTTTCTCTACAATGTTGTCGCTTTTACAGGAGTAAAAGCACGAAAATATTTATATGACATGAACAAACTTGCTTGATGACAACTTTGCTCAGTCAAATACTTATTATCTATCAATTACGTATTTACAGAAGTCTTGATTTGAACTACATTTATGCGTTTATTTGCTAAACCTAGTCTTCCCCAATGTTGTTTTCTTCTTATTTCAGACATCCTAATGTAATTATATTGACAACATCGAACATAACTAGAGCCATAGACGTTGCGTTCGTGGACAGGTTGAAAATATGTTTGTGACTCGAAAGTTTTTAATTCACTTTCTCATCTAACTTCGCTATTTGTTCGCCCACAGAGCCGACATCAAACAGTATATTGGTCCGCCATCAGCCAAAGCTATTTACAAAATTTACCATTTGTTTGTATGTAACTTATGTCTTCTTGTGCACGTGATCAACGAAATGGCTGCCGGTCAATTATGTTTTCTGGCCAAAGGGAACGCCGAAATGGCTTACCGCAACCTATCATCATATACAATATAAAACAACAATTTGCCTCGTGAAGTATATCCCTCTTCTCAGTACTTTGTACCTTTACGTCTACTGCTTTATTTCCATACCACAATATAGTCGTTTGTGCAAGTTATACAAACATGTTGCTTAAATAGAGAGGTGTGCAGCTATATAGAAATTGATTGCAAACGATTGCATTGTAGATAATTTTTAATAATCAAAATTAATGTTCACCGTTTCATCACAGACCAGTATCATATCACCAGCCACTCAAATTTTGGATTTAAGGTACAACTGAAAAATACACGAAATTTTATTTTGACGAAAATTGACGGTGTTTGTTAGAAATTTTTGTTCACTTCTATGTTGATGACATGGTTTTCTTTTCCGATGTACAACTTTTTTCCTATTTTCCATTGTAGCTTTGTCGACAACGATGTAACACACTGTAGTCTTGAATTAAAGAAGATAGCCGAGTAAGTGAAGTAGATGTTTGTAGATGTAGATCGTCGAGGTTAGTGGTGTCCTGCGAAGGACTGTTGATGTTGATGTTGACTGACTTCTTAACAACCTTAGCGGTAGTCATCTTTAGAGTCAGCATCAACAACAACAGTTCTTTTCAGGACTTTACTAACCTGGACGATCTACATCTACAAACATGTAACGATACTCCCATGTTCAAACCTTTCACTTTAAAGTAAAGTGATGTCACAGAGTAAAATAAACATTTCTTGTCTTAGTTTATGGTAAATATTATGTCACCCAGTCTTCATGTTTTCAAGTTAGTATTCTTCTCGTTTTACAAAGAAAACGAAACTACGCCCGGGGGATTTTCAGAAGTTGTCTGAACCCTGGCAGTATGTTCTAGTTTCTTTTATGAGAAGAATTCTTGTAAAGAAAAAAGACAAATTTTGAAAGGAAAAACCCGTTTTCGGTCCATGCTTCCCGATACCTTCTTAAGCGTAAGGCACTAAAACGCGGCATGTTAACGTTTCGGTAGCAGATTTCGGCCCCTCCACGCTATCCTACTTGGGAGATGCAATAGCAAGCTTCCGCCCATCAGACCCGAGATCACCTGCGATAGGCTTTGCTCGGGGTACGCAGGAGAGTGCGGTCGCCACCGAAGTGTGGACCCTAAGCCACTGCATACTATATCGCACCCAGCTTCCACTGCTAGTTGACATCTACTATATGAAGCTATAGATTTATATTTATATATACAAAATTTAGAGGCTTACGAAATTTGTGGTATTATTAAAGTCACAACTGCGCATGCCCAGATAATTTCTTTGATAATTTGCGATTAAGTGGGATAATTGCCACAGATGTAGTGCAAGTACATCTAGTTAGTCGTTGCCATGACTATAAACAATTAGTCGAGTGGGCTGCGAATGCTCGAGCGCATGCGCAGATGATTTCTCCATTAAATTGTTACTAAACATGCTATTTACTTCAAAATCGGGGCTAGTAGATGCAATTGGTCGTCGCCATGACCATGAACATTGGCAGCCAATCAATTTAACTGCGCATGCTCAGTTGATATCTTTAATAGTTTGTTAATAAGCAAGTTATATACTCCTAATTGATGCTAGTAAATGTAGTTGGTCGTTTCCATGACTATCAACTCGGACAATTGGTCAAGTGGACTTTGCATGCTTGAGCGTGCTGCGCATGCCCAAGCGTACTGCGCATGCTCAGATGATCTTCTTATATTTTTGTGACCAAGCGATTAATTACTCAGTAAGTGATGAAAATAGGTCCAGCTTGTTGTTGCCATCACTATGAATATGAAAAATTTGTTAAATGACTAAATTTCTCATTATGATTGAAATTTATGATTTCCCAATATGGACCAAGTGAACCACAGAAGGATGCAAGCTTGTTCTGTTTGTCATTGCCATGATTGTAAACTCGAACAGTTTGTTGAGTTGTTTGTGCATGTTCAGATGAGTTCTCAAATAATTTAGGACTGAGGTTTAAAATATACCGTCTTAATACTTGCAACATAAATAAAATTTAACTTTGTATTACATCTACATTTAAGGCGTAAAGATGTTTTTTCTTTGTTATCGTAGTCAGTAGTTATCAAGTAATGGACCACTCTCAAATAATCACGAATATTGGTTGACTTTTGGTTAGGTTTCTTTGGGAGGCCCTTCTCCTTTTGAACTTGCAAGGAGCAGTCAAGCGTCTCACTGTGATAAACCTACGAAGTATTCTTTCTCTCATTTTCTTGTTTAGAAAAGTTATCAACTAAGTGGTCGAACTCTTCGTAAACTACCATTCCTTGCACATGCGCTGTATTCGAAAGTAAGTAATACGAATTAAAGCCTTCACCCGTGTTCTTTGTTGTACATGCATGTACTTATATTGTCCCTCAAACCTACGTAATAGGCACAAACGATAACCTCAGAAGAGTTTTTGAATAATCTTTCAATGATTGTTGACAAGCAGTTCAAAGAAAAGAGAATCTTTGCTCAGTTGGTGAAGAAAAAGCGTGCAAGCGTGATCTTTTAACGATTGTATACTTTTATACATTCATAGAAATCTTTTGGATATGCTTTGTTGAAGATTAAGATTTTTTATTTCTCAATTTAAGTCAATTTGGTAAGATAGATCACAAAGTTTGCTAATTTATATTGGTACTTTGAGACTCCTTACATGACGTTTCCCAACACACCGAGGTCAAATGCAGCAATGTGTATAGTTCGTTATTGAGGATAATGTGTAGATTATTTTAAATAGGGAAGGATATTTATACGATATAGTTAATTGTAACTGTTTAATTTCAACGTATGTTTACATTAAATTACATCCTTAAGCCAACTTTACTAATATTGATCGCTATTTTCATGTTATACATCTATAATCATCTTGTTAAAGATTTGAAGCTCTGCTACGATAATACAGGTTTGTACTGCTATCTCATCTTTGTTTGTTGCCTATCTGATAGCATGTCAACTCCGGGGACCAGATTTTTTATCGAGATTTATATGACATTAGAGATTGTCGTACGTCAGTCTAATATCTTGAGCATGAACGATATGTTGTTGAAAGATAAGTTTACATATACTCTAGCGTAGTGTCTTCATCAGGAGTGATCGAATGTTGAAACTTGAGTCACAATATGCTCCAGTCTTATGATTTGTCAGGAGTGATCTTTTATTGAAAGTTTCGCTAATGTTATTTAACCATGTTATCTAAAACTTTATCCTCCATATGCATGTGAAACATGTTTTTACAAATGCATGTGAAACTCGTCAACACTTTGTTACGGCATTCGTAATATCCGTGACAACGTTAAAAATGTTTTTTATTTTTCTCTACAACTTTATACCAGCATATTGCATGTCATATCCAAGCTTTCCTTTGATTTGACGGGAAATGGTTTTTATTCACTATTACATATTCTGCCTTTATAATTAGTCGATCTGTATTTCTAAACTAATATTTACAAATGCCCCAAGAGAATCTTTTTATTTTATTGGCTCTCTTCTACAAATACAATACCATGTCCGACTATTTGATTGCACGAATTTTTTAATTTGATCACGTTTTTTTGACACGTGTGTTTACCATGGGAAAGATGGATTGCTTAAATGTACCTAGTTGTTTAGACTACTTGGATCCATAGTTATCCTGTAATGTATACTCTTGTGAAACACCAATGAGCATACGTAGTGTGTCTTCTATAACCTCTATTCTTGTTCTCCACTTCATCATCTATCCATATTTGTTCTTTTTTAGTTCTCAGCTCAACACAACCCTTGTCTGAAGTTCCTAAAACCTTGATCTACCCAAGAAAGATCTCTGGTGGTAACATGTTAGGTATGGCTAGTGGTTGGTCATCGTCATTGAGCCTTGTGACACCAGTTCAGTATACGTTAATTGTCCTGAAGACGTTGAGGAGGTTGCTAGTAAAGCGTCGCCTAAACCAGAAGTTAGTTTTCATGGTATGCTAACGGATTACGCAAACGTTGTTAGGAATAAGTTCACATAAAATGGTTATGGTCTCGTTCCATCGTATTCTGAGAAGGTTTCATGTTCATCCTGTATCTTTCACCAATGTTACAAATACTTAGTTTTTATGCTTTTGAAATTGTCGTTTTATGACTATTATTTTAGAGCATAGACATTGAAAAATCTTGTGGTAGTACAGATATTTTCAACATTTTTTTGTTGAAAAATTCTCTAGTTTCAATTCTTCGAAATTTCTCATCTTAATTTTCACCTTTACTTTAGAATCCTTTCGATACGAGAAATCGTCGGGATTTGAGGTACTTTATACGATATATTGAATTTAAGTTTTATAGCGTTAATAACTCTCATCTGTCCATCGTAACTCTTCTATAATTCTATGGATAAATTATGTTTTTATATATAACAGATTATTGATGATCCTACTTCACCTGAAGGTGTTCAGCAAGAACGACGTATGAAGTTACTGTCATTAATTAATAATGTAGCCCTTGATAAAGGGTTGGATGGTCAAGATTATTAATGTCATGGTTTTTCCAGACCAATTGGAATGAGTATGATCAATGAATTCTCGACTTGTTATTTGCTAGTAACTCAAATATATTTATTTTCAAATTTCTTAGCTTAATAAATGTTATCTTTGTAGAAACTATTATAACAAAGTACATAATCCCTTTTTTTCCGTGAAGCCCATGGATGCGTTCGTTCATGATGAAAGAGTCATATTTTATAAGGAGGCTCTCGTTCATGACGAGAGAGTTATGAGAAAAATACGTTGTAAAGGTAATAAGTAAAAACGTATAAACATGCTTAGTGTTTGTTTAAGTTATAGTTCAAAAGGCAGAAGTTGTTTGAACTTTGAAGTATCCTTGGACGTTCTAGTTTTTTTTATGAGAAGAATTCTTGTAAAGAAAAAGATAAATTTTGAAAACCAAAGAATCCCGTTTTCGGTCCATGCCTCCCGATACCCATAGATAGTTGATCACTAGAGCGTCGCTTGTTAACTAAGGGAACCACATAATCCTTGTTTGTTTTCCATGAAACATATGGATGGTTTGCTCGTGATACATGAGAAACAGTAAGTGGGAGAGTTAAATCAGAAAGATATAAACCGATAAAATTGGTATAAAACATGTTTAAGGTTGTCTTTAATTATAAGTGCCAGAAAAAGACAGGGTCATTAGAAGTTAATTGAAACATTGCTTGGTTTGTTTTATGAGAAGAAAACAAAAGATAAAATTCGAAAGCAAAACCCGTTTTCGGTCCATGCTTCCCGATACCTTCTTAAGCGCAAGGCACTAGAACGCCGCATGTTAACGTTTCGGTAGGAGATTTCGGCCCCTCCACGCTATCCTACTTGGGAAATGCCAATAGCAAGCTTCCGCCATCAGACCCTGAGATCACCTGCGATAGGCTTTGCTCAGGGTACGCAAGGAGAGTGCGGTCGCCACCGAAGTGAGGGCCCCTAAGCCACTCATACTATATCGCACCCAGCTTCCACTGCTAGTTGACATCTACTATATGAAGTTTTAGCTTTATATATATATACCAAAATTTAAAGGCGTACGAAAGTTGTGGGATGATTGTTATCGTTACTGCGCATGCCCAGATGATTTCTTTGATAATTTGCGACTAAGTGAGTTAAATGACACAAATGTAGTGCAAGTACATATAGTTGGTCGTTGTCATGACTATGAACAATTACTCGAGTGGACTGCGCATGCGCAGACGATTTCTCTATTAAAATGTTACTAAGCATGCTATTTACTTCAAAATTGGTGCTAGTAGATGCAGTTGGTCGTTGCCATGACCATGAACTCGGGTAGCTGGTCAATTTGACTGCGCATGCTCAGTGAGACTGCGCATGCGCAGATGATTTGTCTTAAAACGTGTGACTGAGCGAGCTAATTACTCCAAAATCGGTACTAGTACATCCAGTTGGTCGTTACCATGAGCTTGGAGAGTTTGTGGAGTTGACAACGCATGCTCAGATTCTCAATTAATTTGTGACAGAGCGAGCTCTGAAGTTGGTGCTTGTAGATGCGCTGAGCAAGCTTTCCATCATATATTTTTGGCATGCTCTTTGTCTACTTAAGCTTGTTTTGACAAATGCATGTGAAACTCGTCAACACTTTGTTACGGCACTCGTAATATCCGTGACAACGTTAAAAATGTTTTTTATTTTTCTCTACAACTTTATACTTGCATATTGCATGTCATATCCAAGCTTTCCTTTGATTTGACGGGAAATGGTTTTTATTCACTCTTACATCTTCTGCCTTTATAATTAGTCGATCTGTATTTCTAAACTAATATTTACAAATGCCCCAAGAGAATCTTTTTATTTTATTGGCTCTCTTCTACAAATACAATACCATGTCCGACTATTTGATTGCACGAATTTTTTAATTTAATCACGTATTTTTGACACGTGTGTTTACCATGGGAAAGATGGATTGCTTAAATGTACCTAGTTGTTTAGACTACTTGAATCCATAGTTATCCTGTAATGTATACTCTTGTGAAACACCAATGAGCATACGTAGTGTGTCTTCTATAACCTCTATTCTTGTTCTCCACTTCATCATCTATCCATATTTGTTCTTTTTTAGTTCTCAGCTCAACACAACCCTTGTCTGAAGTTCCTAAAACCTTGATCTACCCAAGAAAGATCTCTGGTGGTAACATGTTAGGTATGGCTAGTGGTTGGTCATCGTCATTGAGCCTTGTGACACCAGTTCAGTATACGTTAATTGTCCTGAAGACGTTGAGGAGGTTGCTAGTAAAGCGTCGCCTAAACCAGAAGTTAGTTTTCATGGTATGCTAACGGATTACGCAAACGTTGTTAGGAATAAGTTCACATAAAATGGTTATGGTCTCGTTCCATCGTATTCTGAGAAGGTTTCATGTTCATCCTGTATCTTTCACCAATGTTACAAATACTTAGTTTTTTTATGCTTTTTGAAATTGTCGTTTTATGACTATTATTTTAGAGCATAGACATTGAAAAATCTTGTGGTAGTACAGATATTTTCAACATTTTTTTGTTGAAAAATTCTCTAGTTTCAATTCTTCGAAATTTCTCATCTTAATTTTCACCTTTACTTTAGAATCCTTTCGATACGAGAAATCGTCGGGATTTGAGGTACTTTATACGATATATTGAATTTAAGTTTTATAGCGTTAATAACTCTCATCTGTCCATCGTAACTTTGCTATGATTCTATGGATAAATTATGTTTTTGTATATAACAGATTATTGATGATCCTACTTCACCTAAAGGTGTTCAGCAAGAACGACGTATGAAGTTACTGTCGTTAATTAATAATATAGCCCTTGACAAAGGGTTGGATGGTCGAAATTATTAATGTCATGGTTGTTTCAGACCAATTGGAATGAGTATGATCAATGAATTCTCGACTTGTTATTTCCTAATAACTCAAATATATTTATTTTCAAATTTCTTAGCTTAATAAATGTT